CATGCGGCTGCATTTTGGCTGATCTGCAGTTTGTCTAGAGCTTTCTTGGGTGGGCCACAAAAGAAAGCATTACAGGACTGTAGTCCAGCCTGGTAGTCATAAAAGCATGCATCGGTCTCTCGATATCTGTGTGGGAGAGATATGGTAGTACTTTTGCAGCATTTCCTGAGATGATAAAAGGCAGTGCTGGTGAGCTTCAAAATCCAGATGAGGATAAAAAAAAGCAGACCAAGGTTACTAGCTTGGGGCTTGATGTTTTGTGTCAAGGATTTTAAGTCACTGGATAACTTTTTTGTCTCTGAGCCTCTGCCCTAATTCTTTGAACATCTGTCTTTGATCCGTTATGGGAAAGTTATTCACACAAAAGAGCAGACATGATTGATACGCTGAAATAGTTTTCCGGGGAGATGGTAGCATAGCTTACCACCACAATCTTTCTATAACCTCAGGCAAGTGTTTTCATTGCCTAAACCTGAAGAATATTTGACATAAATTATAGATATTTTCAGTGGTTGTAATTAAAGTCTAAACAACAGTGGTCCTAGAATGCAAGACTGGTCCTGGGGCATCCCACACAATGTTGGCAGAAGAGTGGGCTTCACACATCTCTGTAGGTTTATAATAATATGTATAGTATGCTTAAATGTACCAAAAGTACTGTCTGTCTCTCTGCTGTGTGTCTCCAATATCTGGCTCTTTAGCTGCTTGCTGCTGCTAGACATATGAGGCTGATGAGAGTAGCAAAACTGAACAAAATAGTTTATGCTTGGGCCGTACAACAAAAGATCATAAGAAGCTCTGTAGAGTTGAAGAGTTTGGTGATAACTTTTTTGGAGATTGCTTGGTGAAGCATTACGGTAAATATAGCTATTAAAGAACTCTTTACAATGATTTCACTGAATAAATGTTTTAAATTGGCCTACATTTGGCCTAAAGGATCTTATTGAAAGAAATGCATTACAGTGACAGTTCTCAGTGCCAGGAAAAGATGCCAGTTAGCATAAAAATGATTTATTCTTTGCCAGCACTTCAAGCTCAGGACAATAAGCGTTCTGTTATAAACAGTGTTTGGTAGGGTCAAGAGAGCTGGTGGAGAGATTAAGTTTCATTTCTCTATTAATGACAGCAACATGCATAGCAGTTTCAAGCAAAGAGAAAATAATGCCAAATGGGGGCCAACACTATTTGTACTGTAATTATACTTAACCTGGTCTATGTTATCTTTTTAGAGTACTGCTCTGTGCTCTGTGCATTTTCATGATTTCACACCCGGAGGATTAACAATAAACCGGCTCACTTGTGTTTTTGAAAAGTAAATAGTAGTTAGCTTGTGAGTTCTGCATTTTTGGTGGGAAGTCTGCAAATTCACTTAGTTATGCTAAAAGTCTGAAGAAATAAAAGTAGAAAATACAGATTCCAGATTCACATATTGTAGATCAATTATGAATTGTTTTATAAATTATAACAGTAGGAGATTTGCTTAAATACACATAACAAAGTAATCTGCTACAATTCTAAACATTTCCTTTAAAAGAGAATGGAAAAAAAAAAACTATGAGAGAAATTGTTTTGTACTTTTGAAATAGACAGGGTGTGGATAGAATTGTCATTGTCACCACCAAAACACAGCGTGGACACACTTACCAGCTTTTTCTTGTCCCATTTCAAAGGAATTCAGTGAGCATGTTTCCCAGGACAAAACCTGGGCTGAATGCCTAGAATTCTTAAAGCAAAATTCTGACATTTTTGGATATACACTTATTCACTGACTTGCTGAAAGTTACATGAGAAGATCTGTATTACTGCCATTAGTTTAGTTTAAATACTTGGAGAACAACAGCTGGCTCCGTCTAAAGGTGAGAACATTTGCCAACCAGCATCGCTGTTGCTCCCTAATTAACATTTTCTATCTTGTTTGTTTAATTTGTACAAAAAAAAAAACAATGATAAAAAAACAACAATTTGCAAGCTAAGCTAATCGGCTGCTGACTGTATCTTCATACTTTATATTTGGAGGGGTGGTAATGGGGCAGTGGATAAGATGCATGCCTTTGGTGTGAGAGACCTGGGTTCAATCTCTCAATGTGACACATCCACCAATGTGTGTCCGAGCATGACACTTAACCCCTCGTTGCTCCAGAGGCGTGTGACCTCTGACATACATAGCAATTGTAAGTCGCTTTGGATAAAAGCATCAGCTAAATGAATAAATGTAATGTATATTTAGCATACAGATATTCGAGTTGCATCCATGTTCTAAATTTTAACAAGAAAGCAAATAGGTCCGTATGGTACGATAATTGTGAATGATTATGCTCCTTCGGCGCAAATAATTAGACTGAAATATAATCTAATTATTCAGTAATCAGCTATTCACTTGTAAAAAGTGGAAACTCCAGTGGAACAACCACAGAAAATGGAAATGAACATAATAAAATGAAAATAAGTCAGGAACTGTGGATACATAAAAAGCACATTTTCTTACTGAATGGAGGTAGAAGGGGCTGATTATCAGAGAATTTCAGGCTCCTGGTCTGGTAATCATCCATGACACAGATCTGTGATAAGCCTATCGCCAGATTGATCAGCAGAAACCTCGTTAGCAGCCACTCTGGACAGATTCATTTACAACAATGTTGCACTAATGCTTCTTAATATCAGTGCGTAGTGTTACTCAGAGTCCCGTTTTCCATCTCCCACTACAGCTATTGTTAAAATTATTTTAGAGGCAGACTTAATTAAAACCATAGGTCTTCTGCACCTCCTCTTGGTAAATCCCTTTATAAGACCAAAATACACTCTATGTAGACACTAATGTCAAATGAATCTACTACTTTTCAAGCAAGGGAGACTATTTCGTAAGGGATTCTGCGTGGGGTAAAAACAACTGCTGCAGCGATAATAATGTCAGTGACTATACTTGATTCACTTTCACATATTTACCCAGAGTGGACAGGTGGTCAGAAAGACTGGCCTTCACCCACATGACCCAAGTTGTCAGCAAGCATCTGCTGAAGTGTCATCGAGCAAGACACTGCTGCAGGCTGCTGTTCTGCAGCAGAGCTTGCCCCCTGACCTCACTCTGTCAGAGAAGATGGGCTTCCCTGTGGGATCAACACAGGATTGTATTATTTATCTTAAGATGCAAAGTGCTCCTTCATCATTGCACTGCGTACATATTGCCATTGCTGTTAGGTCTTCGCGTGCTTGACGTCAAAAAGAGACTATATAAATATTTAACAGCATTACTATTTATTCCTTTTTCGTGACATTTGTGTTAGTTGCGATCATTTATATTAGGTCGTGTTTCCAGATACCACCTACACAATGCAAACCAGATGATAAGGAAGAGTGATACAGTGGAAAGTGAATCTGTCAAGTAATAATATCTTGTTAGATTGTCTGAGGACGTGGGTTGGGATATCTATAGCTCTTGAATTGTTTTCGTCCCATTTCTCTTATCTCCTTTTAGGGCACTGGTTCTCAAGTTGGGGTGCGGGCACCTCTGGGGGGCATAGAGCCACCCCAGGGGGTCCTGGATGTTTAGCGGACCCAAAGTTGCATGAATATAATTCATGTGGTGACATTAACAAATTAAGGTGCTCTGATTGCTAGCAAGGCTATTTTCTAAACTGAATGCTGTTTATTTTAATCGCCTGTATTGTTAATGATTGATAAAAATGAAATCCACTTATGCTTCTGAAGGGGTGTGACAGAAAAAGTCTGCTATTGGGGACATTATCCATCAATTGTGTGTCAGAGACTGGAGTTTCAACAAGCACAAAGGGTCTCTGGCTTCTAACTCAAAGGTGGAAAGCACCTTTGAGTTATTATAAAACTACAGAGCTGCGTAAAGTGGTCATTTTTGATTCCTAGTTGAACTTTGAGAAAACAAGTCCATTATTCTGTCACGTTATTTTCAAATAAGCTCAAACATTGGCAAGCGATGCCCTTTTAATAACTCTAACAACATTGTTTTGTTGTTTCGTCACATCTGGATCATTGCAGCACATTGTATATATAAGCTGTAGCACGACTCCACAGCATTCCCACATGAACCTGGTGCTGGTTTCACCATGCTGGTTTCCTGTCAAATTTAAAATTAAATTCAAGATTTTTCTAATTACTTAAAAGGGGATCCACAATTTGGCCCTATTGTTTTTTGCACACTTTTACTAAAGGAATATAGGCTAGATAGAGTGACGACATATTGTATATCGGTAACGTAGGTTGATTTGGGAATATACCCAATACTTTCTCCACAGAACATCAACCACACTGGCAGACATTAAAAGCCAAATGTATTTGTTTTAGCATCACACAGCAGCCCTAAAGCAGGAGAATATTGAAACAGGAGAATATTGCGGCTGTCAGGTGAAGACCATGCATCTTCAAAATGTGAAAGCATTGTATTTAAGTTGACACACGTGTATTTGAGTTCATTTGTTTTTTTGTTTTTTTTTTCAAAAGGTTTAATAACCCCTGGGCTGTAGGATTTTCTGAACCAGTAAAAGAGCCTCATCCAGCAGCTGAAGTGACAATTACCAGAATGATCGATGTGCATGCAGTTATGCAAGGTGCAATAAATGTGACGCTAAAGGTTTGAAAGTAACAACGACATAAAAAAAACCTTAATCTTCAGCAGATCCAATAGGAATAGAATAGATGAGAATCATCAACCTTTTACACCATTTAAAACAGTGGTTTGGTCCTTTTTTAAATTATGTTAAAGCAAAGCACCTACATATAACCACTGATTGGTTTGGATGTTTGTGTTCCCCTTTACTTTCTTATCAATTATGCCCTGTTTAACGACCAACTGTGGTAATAAGACTTGTCTTAAAAAGGGATGTATATAAATGACTGTGTACATTTGTATGTGTTGGCAGGTTAGATATTCTGTGTGTATGAAAGCCTCATGCGTGAGCTTTGAGTGTGTGTGTGTCCTTATTATTGACACTCTCCCCTTTTCTCTCTTTCTCTCTCTCTCTCCCACGCAGGCCTACAGCTCTATCCTGGTTGTCATGGTGATTCTGCTCAACATTGGAGTGGCTATTTTGTTTATCCACTTTTTTATTTAAAGACAGCAACGCTTTCAGAGTCAGCCTATCTATGCTACAACAACTATAAATTCATATGAGTATTACGACCAATCTGCTGCCCTTTCGTGTTCCTGGCGAGAGGACTGCAGCCCGACTGAAAGAAGACTACGACCAAGGAGGGCTCCGCCATCATTTGGGCTGAAGGTGTCTAACCCGGGCTAACCTCCACTAAGCTTGGTCCAGTCTTTGTGAAAGAGATGCTGAAGTGCGTAGCCCAAAGACGGGGACAAAAGAATGGTAAAGCAGTCCAGGTAACTGGACAACAAAGAGATAATATAGTTCAGAAACTGGACTTAAATGACTTCAATAGTTCACATATAAACTCAAATGGGCTGAACTGGTCTGGTCCCCAGGCCATGCGAGCTGCAGCTGGCATTACAGCGAGATGTCTGCTTCCACTGCCTGCAGACAGGACTGACGAGACAGACTTTTTCATCTTCAAATCATAGTTTTCAACAGATTTGTAACTTATAATTTATTTATTAACATGTTCTCTCATGTACACTATGTTGATGGATATATTCTTTCTTTTGTAACCCTCCACCCCTCTTTATATAACTCCTGCCTTTTGGTTCCTTCGCCTGCCCAGGTGTTGTTACTGATGGTTCAAGCTGCGCGTTCATGTGTGTGAGAGTCTATGTAAGACTCAGGAGCTGACGAGTGTGTGTGTGTGTATGTGTGTGCTGCCTGGATGCATGGTTGATGGCTCCCTGACCACACACACACACACACACACACACACACACACACACACACACACACACACATTCACCCGCCCCTCTGATGTCTGTCTTCTCTCATTCTTCATCTCATGCCGGCACTGAGTAAGTTTGTGTGTGCGTGTCAACGAGTGAGTGCATGTGTCTCTGCAAACTGTATGTTTGCGGTGAACGTGTAAATGTTTTTTTGTGGGGAATGTGAGCATGTTTGTGTGTATCAAGCTGCCATGTCTTTTCCAGCAATGTGTGTGTGTGTGTGTGTGTCTGTGCGTGGTCTACATGTAGCTCCGTGGCCTTTCACGCTGTTCATGAACTTTACAAGAGCATCTCATGAGGACACAGTCACTGCTCATCCACATCTAGCCTACTAGCATCAGCGGACAGCTGTGCTCTCTCCGTCTCTCCCTCCTACTCTCTCCCGCCTCCACACACACCAGTTAGAGGATGGAGCTCCCTCTGTGTTGGTGGTAGTTCAAGACAGACCGTCCTTGGCAAAGCCCTGCGCCTACTGTACTAGCTGAGGTATTAAGAGTCAGTACAGCATTAAAAGAAGCAAAGCCTGTATGTGCAAGACCAGAAAAAATGGCTTCAAAGACAATATCATATTGATAAATCAGTGTCTCCCACTGCTTCTCTCCAAACTTAACCTGAAGGCAACATCTTTTATATTATACTTGCAAGATGTCTGAAAAAACATACTAGTCGGCACCTGCCTTGCTTTTGTAGCGCAAATTGCTAAAAGTACAACAATGCATGCATATGTACTATAATATCTTAGTTGTGTGTTGAATCTGAAAGCAAGAAAAGCTTCAGAAGCACATGCGACATGTTACGTTTTGATAAGAGCAGTGTCTGGAGAGAAACCTATTTAGCACTGATCATGAAGCTAAGGTAAAACATGTGTAAGTGTAGTTTACGGACTGTTATCAATCTTTTCTGGGTCGACTGTAGTGTAGAAGCAAGCAGTGGTCAGGATCGAGGTCAGGATTTACCACCTCCATTCCTCAGCTTCTCCTCCAACGATCCCTCAATGACAAACAGACAGACTAAAGTGCTGTCACAAATACCAGTCACAGTTTGTCTATTTTTATAGCTGAGTGAAGACACTGGGTTTTTCTGTGTGTGTGTGTGTGTGTGTGTGTCTCAAACACACCTGGCAGACCAGCCTCTGTGTTTGTTTGCATGTGTACACATGAACGCTCATCTGCGTGTGTGAACATGTGTGTGCATCCTCCTCCTTACATGTGATGGGATGGCTGAGCCTGTTGCCGTCGGTAACAACTTCCAGGAGGCAGGGAGGCTCGCTGTTGTGTCCAACATTGGATTGAAACCCAAACTGGGCTGTAGGCTAATTTTTGGTTTATTATTTTATTATTGTAATATTTATTATTACAAGAGTACAGTCTAATGTGCCTGCACCCCGAGAGGCAGAACAATATATTTTCATTTCATTTGGGTCCCAGACTGAAGCTCTGCTGTATGCCATCAACCTGGTGACGATGCCCTGCACCACCCTGTTAGTCCGCAGCATGCTACAGCATGCCAAGCTCTCTCTATCTATAGTTTGACTCTTTCTTTCTTTCTTCTTTCTTTCTTTCTTTCTTTCCTTCTTTCTTTCTTTCTTTATGTTTCTGGGAATTACTCTGTTTTGTTTTTGAGTTATGTGGAGAAAATAATGAAAGTGTTTGAAAGAAAATTACTCTTGGCTCTTGTGTTTTTAATCTTTATCTTTCTTTGTGTTGCTATATATATGTATATATATGCGCAGCATCCCCGATGCAGAGGGAGTGGTACAGGCCTGGTTGAGAGAGAGGAATATGGTAACTATAGCAACCTTAAGTGAATTTTCCTCTATCAGCTGGCCTGTGTTGGGGGGCGGGGTTTACCTCTAGAGACCAATGTTCTCAATGAGAGGGAGGATGGAGAGTTTGGCTGTATTGATGGAGAACCAGGTGAAGAACCACACAGAAGGACAGAGTGAGGTGAAAACAACAGGCAGTGTTAGATTATGTAAAGCTGTGTTTAATCTACATTTTTATTTTTATTTTTTGGTCTTTGAGGTTTATATCATCTGTGACAAAGCATGCTCATGGTGGATGCAACACCGCGTCCATCAACAAGTGTGCTGCTGCATCAGGTTTCAACATGACATCTGACGCCATCTTCTGGTCCTAGATATGAACTACAAAAAAACAGCATAAAGGGGCTTCACTATAGGACACAGAGGACTTAGTTATAAACGTACTATTTAACTATAATGCCAATTATATTTGTTACCATGTAGGACATAAAGTATGTTAATCTTTACAGTGGCTTTAGTGAACCACCCGCCGGACTGACATGAAATTTCACAACCACATCTTTCATCCCTTGCAAATATTAGGCTGTATTTCTGTGTTAACCTTTTATACTCATCACTGTGGCTTTATGGTTGACTTTTCTTATTTATGGGAAATATGAACACCAGTCCTTAAATAAATCTGTCGAGTAATATTTCCTTTCTGTAGCTAAAGTGGCCTACTTTTGCTGTCATTTCTGAACAGGCTAACTTGCTTCTAAAACTCTGAAAGTAACAATAGCCTACTAAAAGTAATAACTAAATGATTCGTAATACATATAGACCCTAACTGTTGGTGTGACTACCATAGTACATAGATTATATAGCATTAGTTTCACGTGTATCTGGCACTTTAAAGCTTCACTAACTAAGCTGAGATATGTTATGAGCGCATGAGAAAAAGATGTGAAATAGCAGGGCAGCGGATATCCGTCTGAGCCAATCACGAGAGAGCTCTTGAACACAGACGGGACTTGCAGCCAATCAGCGGAGATAGTTCTATAATGTGGGCTGGTTTTGCTGCCAGATTTCAGATAATGTTATACACAGCTGTTTTTCTCGATTTCAAGAGTCATGGTAGAGTTCGGGGTCAGGAAAACTACATTTTGCACTAAATTCATTCACGGACACCGAGCAAAAGCTCTATTATCATCTGTGAGGTTTTCTTCCACATCGGCGTTTGATGAGGTAATGTCTCGGAAATTATTATGTTATTTCCAGTGGCGGCGGTAACTTTGGATCACACTAGCTGTGCTTTTAAACTGTAACCCCAGCACAATCTTGCGAGGAGTCGGGACTTTATCGCTGGGCTTTCAGCTCCTCGCACAAGTTGTGGAAAACCATGAGGACGGGGGACAGCGGTCCGACCGGCGGGGAGGGACACGGCGGAGGGACTCCTGGCTGCCGAGCTGCGCGCTGAACACAAACCAGAGCACTTTGGCTGCATATGAGGCGACTTGGTGAGATTATGGTTTATGGAAAAGCCTGCTGCTCTGTCGCCGCAGGTCCGCCAACAAAGAAAACCACTGTTACGTTTTTTTTTCATGTCAGTGCTGTGACCACTGTGTGTAAACAAACAGTGAACGTGTGGAGTGAGAGAAAAGTTGACTAATTAGCTCTGACTTTATGGCCACTCGAGAGTAACGCTGCTCACGCGCGCCTGCGCAATTACGCACCTACACACACACACGCTGCCCCCTTTGTTGTGGAGTTTACTCTCAGTTGAGAGTCTTGACATTTTAATTCCAGTTATTGTCAGTACAATTACAGTTCAGTGTGAGTGGATGTGTGAGGATGGTGGAGAGCCGGAGCTGTGTGCAGAGGGAGGGGGTGTACCGCTGGTTCTCCTCCCTCACCTCAGCCCAGAGAGCAGAGTTCCTGTGCGGCCTTCTGGACCTCTGCGTCCCCATCGAGCTCCGCTTTCTCGGCTCTTGTCTGGAGGACTTGGCCCGCAAGGACTACCACTCCCTCCGGGATGCGGAAATCAAAGCTAACAACCCCGCCGACTTGTCGGGCCTCACTAACATCACGGATGAGGTGGTGCGCAGCAAGCTGCTGGTGTCCCTCGCCCTGCTCGGCTCGGACAACAGGGAGGCGGCGGGGGTCCTGTACCGGACTCTGACTCACATAGACACGGTGATTAATAACTACGGCCTGGCGCTGAACGACGGGAGGACCGAGGAGCAGTTTCTCTTACTGTTCACCATGGCCTCTCACCACCCGGCCTTCAGCTTCCACCAGAAGCAGGTGCTGAGGCAGCAGCTCAGCCAGATCCAGGACATCCTGCAGGTGAGAGGGATGCTCCCAGTGGAGAGCCACAAGAAAGTTCACACCTTTCACAGGGTTACAAGGAGTAAAGAGCACGTGCCCAGCTGTCAGACTGCATAAAATATCATTTGAAAATAATTTTACACTTTTTCATTGATTTTCAAGTGAAAAAAACTGACCATGACTGAATTATGTTGTTCAATGAATCATACTAGTAGAATGAAGTGTACAAAAACATGCAACTGAATCACTTGCCAAATTCATAGTAGATGGATAGATCAAGAGCAGACTGTGCCTTAGGAGTTACTTGTTTGGGAAGAAATGCCACTCTCATTTAGATGATCTGACGCAAAGAACTTGTTTCCCACAAATCCTGTTTAACTAAATTGGCCCACTCAGATGCCAACACCTGCGAAATGAGAAATGGAAGTATATGGGGACAAACAGTATTAGGTGAAAAATGTCGCACATAGTGAAAGAGCCTTTCAGTTTGTTTTCATGTGGTTCCCTGTCAGAGGAAGTGAAAGCAGATAATAAAAAGTCCTGTATAGAGTGTGAATGGCATAAATGAAAAACCATTATAACCAGTTAAAGTTCTACTCAGTGGCTGACAGAGAACATGCGGTTGCCCACTGTCTGAACAAAATGTTACATGACAGAGCTCATAAAGGAGGTGAAAGGGCAGCATGGTGCAGGCTGTTACTCTGCTGTGAATCCACATCTCTCTGACAAGGTGCCTCCTCCCAGATAAAAGACTCCCATAAAGTCAGAGCATTGGACGCTGCGGGCTTTGTTAACTTAGTAGAGTTATCACCACAGCCGCCCGTCCGTCAGGCCCCTGGCCACAGGCGAGGTTTTCACCTGCTCAGAGGGAAAGAAACGTCATTGTAGCAGGTGAATCACAAACTAATTTCAGGTTTTTCTGAGGTCTGGCAGAGGAAATGTGTTACAGATGAGTACAGCACACTGGCATGTTATCTACACATCTAAATTACAGGTGAGAGGTGGTCAATGACAGGCTACCTCAGTCTTGTGTTACTGAGTGGTGAACAATGTCAATTACATGTTTGTAGGTGAAAGCTGACAGCGAGCAGTTTATGATGTCGGCCACAGCTCAGGTCAGATTAAAAAGATATTCTTGTTAGTTGACTTAGCTAAAAGAAGAACTGATGTGTCTTTAAAACCCATAATCTTTCATTTTCTGAGGAGTTTTAATGCAGTAAATGGCATTTTAGGAATTCTAAAGTTGAATGTTTAACCCTGATGTTCTGTTTGGGGTCCTGGACCCTCATTAACAGCTCAAACAACATACATTGTTTTATTAACTTGATACTTGATACACTTTCCCTGATGTAATGAGACTTGCTGACTTCTGTTTGGGATCTCAGAGAACCCAGGTGTAAAGCATTGTTAATACAATGGAACTTCATAATCCCTACATTTGTGATTGGGTTGATTCTACTTTTTACACAGAACTACCCTTCTCAAAAATGTCTACTTGGATTTCTGTTCATAAGAGGTCATACAAGGAGGTTTAATCTCGAATATAAGTAACAGCATCACATAGGAAAAAGACTTTATGTTCATGCACATCCCATACAACATATTAAATGTGAAATACTTCCTTACTTGGCGTAATAACAATACTTTATGCTAATTTCTGTATCGTGTCACCTTGCCCAGTTTGTGGCAAAGGCAGTGACAATAGAAAATATGTGAGGCTTTCAGTTGGGTAGTATTAATAACGTCATATATTCGGACTTCAATGCATTATTTGCACTTTCAGCATCATAGACAGCTCAACATAGAAATAATACAAACAATTCCCTTAAAGGTCACAGAAACAAACATATTTGCTTTGTTGAGTAAAAATTGTTTCAGTTTTTAATTAAAGGACCAGAAAATAATTGTGTGCACAAATGCATAACATGCCTTTAATCACAAATCATCTAATTATAAAAAACATTTGTGTACACCAACATATTTATTTATAGCTGAGACCTTAACTATTCGTTTGCTGCTTGTTAGAATATTCTAACATAAATTATGCCAAAGTGTGCCAACTAACACTCCCCTACACAGGTATGCTGGAAGTCAGTAGAGTTGGGGGTGCTGAGAGAAGGACAGCCTATATAGTGACATCATACTGAATGGTGCGCGATATTCATGTTTTTCATAGTCATTCATGTGAATGGTCACAATTTGAGAACGCTTTACACTACAGCAGACAGCAAACTTGAACACCAACAGACTGTGTGTCACAGCATCCACAGCACGTACACAGTGAAAAACAGGAACTAATGCAGGAGAACTGAAGGAGATGAAGAGGAGGGACAGCGCCTGGACGAAAGAGAGAGATGTGGCCCACAACCAGTTCATCATAGTTTATAATGACGCAGCGCAGTGAAGATACAGACATTTCATAGAGGAGACGAGCATATCTGTCAGTCACTGTTAACAGACTCCAGTCTGCAGTGTGGTTCACACACTTGACCGATAAACCACAGAACTGTAGAGTAACATTAGGCTTCATGATAAAAAACATTTTTCTCATTCGCTCTGACCGCCGCTTTACTGAGAAACTCTTCTTACAGTGATACAGTACAGGCTACAACATCAACATGTTCCCATCTCTTGTGATAAAAAGGCAGGGGATGCACCAATCCAACTTTTTCAGTCCAGATACTGATACCAATACCTGGGTTTTGGGTATCGGCCGATGCCGAGTACAGATGCGATACCAGGGAGACTGACAATCTGACAATGTTCTTTGGCATGCCACTTCTAGAGGTCATTAAGTTGGTTGTGTTACATTTTGCACTGCTACCATCACCACCAGTGGCTTTGCAGTAATTGCAAGTAGCCGTAGAACTTGTTCCTAACTGCTCACCCCTTGTTTTTAGCTCTTTCCATGCTATGTTAACTCTCATAGCAAAATGTTGGGGTCTACTGGTGCACTGTTCTACTGGTTACACGCGTAATTGAATTGAATAGATTGATAGATTTGAGTCAGTATCGGGCCGATATCTGATATCAGTATGGGAGTGGGGCATCCCTAAAAAAGACTAGAGATAAGTAGAAAAAGAGATGACACAACTGTCACATCTTACTCTAGCTGTGTTTTCCTTTTGGCCTTTTACTGGACATGTTGGTTGTTGCAGGTGAGCAGTGGAGGAGGAGGAGGGGGGGAGGCTCAAGCTGCAGCCCCTGGCGGGGATCGAGCTGCTGTCTGTTACGCCCAGCCACACAACCACTATCACCATCAGACCGTGTCCTTGCCTCTGGCTTCGTGTTCCCCCGTTGCCTGCTCCCTGCCCGATGCCAGCGCCGCCTACCTGCCTCTGCCGGCCTGCCAACCCTGCCAGACACACTGCACCTGCTGCCACAAGGTAGGGAGCAACAAAGCCAGAGTTTAGCGGGCTTTGTTAGTTCATGTACGTTGAACAACAGAGCAAGATTCAGTTCTCTAAGAAATAAAGCAAATATGTAAACAAAAGATTTAATTGATGGGTCTGTTAATGATATTAATATTCTGGGTTATTTGGGGGGAAATTGGGTCTTAGACTTTGAGCTAAGAATAGATGTATCAGAACCACGTCTGTTTCTGGAGCACTGTCAATCTGCAAGAGCAAACAAAATACAAATGTGCAGCGATGGTGGAATAATGCTAAAAATTTAAGTAAACTGTTTTAATCAAACACTCTCCATTCAGAAAATGTGTTTAAATGGAACTTCAGTAAGTCAGTCAGCATTCATCTATGAAATAATGTAAGTGATTCTTCCACTGTCTGTTGTCCATGGCTGCTTTATCCTGTATGAAAAGCTTCTCCGTCAGTCCATTAAATCCCTGCAGTAGCTGAAGGCAAGACAGATGTGGTGATCGATCTGCAGCCTCTGATTTGAGAAATGGCGTCCGCTGTGTTTACCTTCATTAAATCACGTTTAAACACAGCAGACTTGTCGGTTATAACTTGGTTTTCTGTAGTTTATGCAGGAGACATCGGATTACTACGGTCCAACAATCCTGTGTGTCTGCTTACTTTCTAACTTACTTTTTTTGCAAAAGTGGCATTACAACAACAAGACCGCAAGATATGGTAAGCTGGCAGATTATCATAGATGAGTAACTAATTCATGTCTTCATGTTCCACAGCCAGAGAAAGCTTTAGTAACTTAAAAAAAAAACAACATCTAGTCAACTACTAAGTTATTCTTCTCTCTGTTACAAAAAGGTGTCACTTCTTGTTTGCTGGACCCAGGAGTTTTGAGTTGCATAACATAAAAGCGTAAATGAACTGGCTACAGACTGAACGGCTGTGGTTAACATATGATATGCGATAAACATATTTGTCATATGGAAAATTAATATTAGGGCCCAGGAAGGATTTACGTTGGACAACACTTCAGCTTATCCCGGCTCAGTTTGCTTTGCTGTACATAAAACACAGAGTGTATAAATGAACTCTCACAAGCGCTGAGCTGTGTACACATACAGGTGCACAAATCGGTGCGTGAAAGATTTTCAAGAACATGTGGGAATACTAAAAATACCAAAACAATGACGTGCATTGTTGATTTCCTCTTAGACGTTCATAATTCCCCTGAATTTCTTGACATTTTATGACCAGTCTAATGACTAGTCCCCAGCTAGTGGAACTGGACATGCAGTTTGAACCATCAGCCTTCTTCCTGGTGATGGTGAGCCAAATCCCTGACATGTGATAAATGTTTTGAATTGTGAATTGTGAAATTGCTCTTCTTGTAAAACTAATTCTCTAACAACAAAATTGGTGGTCAATCTAAAATAGTCCAAATATTGATGATAAAAGAGGGCAGGAGGAAAAAGACTCAAGTTGTTTACAACTAAATGTGGTCGCTCTGCCTGGGTGTGTTGTAATAAAAGGTGGAGATCATGGGGGGAGGGAGAGGAGGGGATTTCCCAGTGATGAAGGGCAGCTGTGGTTTATTAACCCTCTGTTACAGTAACATGTGGGATCATCTGCAGAGTGCTGAATAGGGATTCTTTAGACAAATCAGGACTTCTGAAATCTGAAAGAGAAAGATATTGACACTCTTATCAATGCGAGACGAGGAGTTAAACAAAGTTGAAGAAGCAACACGTAATTTGTTCCTGTCTTTCACACAGATGTAAACACACATATACATATAAACACTTATATGCTCACACAGAAACAGGCAGGCACACTGTTTGAACATGTGTGAGCAGTGAAGGGAAAGTACCCAGCCCGGAGAGCAGCGTTTGTATTTAGTGTTTTGTTGCCCTTGGCTCCTGCTTAGTGCAGGTCAGCACATTTCTCTATGCTGAAATCAACCCTCTGTGGTGTGTGTGTGTGTCTCCAGTGAATCCCCAGGAAGTTATAAATGCTCTCTCTCTCTCTCTCTCTCTCACTCTCTTTCCTTCCCCCAGTTCTCTCAAGGGAATGGCTGGGTTTCATTGCAAACTAGAGCATACATTTTCTATAGTAGAGCAGATACTGTCACATACTCGAAATATATATTTGACACAATAGCTTTCATAACTGTAACCGTATGTAACTCTGCTATAGCAGGGTTTGCATTAGCATCAGTGCTGGCAGTCTGGAGGTCTGTAGTTGAGTAAATGAATAAAAATGAAGTAGCACAACGTGTAAATACTCATTTATTTTGTGCAAATGTACTTACTTCCCACCCCTGCAACTAAAGCAGACTTCAGTGCTTCTTGCCCCAGGATTTTAAATAAACTTGCATGAGTTTATTTTAACGCAAAGCAGCTGGATGCCGAGTCACTCCAGAGGAAAGATTGTTGAAATAGATTTTCTCCAGCGGGAACCAGCAGACAACAGAAGTGCAGTGGTATAAACAGCACATACAGTACACGGGTCACATCTGCTGGGCCTGTACAAACCTGCATGATCACCCTATTGTGAGTGCTTTATGTATCTATAAAAAACAACACCAGTGTCAGATTAACCACAGAGACTTTTGTAGCAGAGGGAGGAGGAGGAGTTGCTCACAGTCTGTGTTTTAGAGTTTTCAGTCTTGTTTTACTCTACAGTTCCTACTAGCAGGGAGATTCACATGCTGTCCAAATATCTGGAACATAATCTTAATTTCATTTCCACACTCCTTGTTTTTCTGTCTCCTCCTCGTAATCCTTCGGCTGATTCATGTTGTTCTCATGAGTGTTCTCAGCGTAACAGAGTCAGACTCTCCTTCCCCTCACTTACGGTCTGCACACAGAGCAGAGAGTTGGCAGGTTGGGCAAGTAACATGCGGATGTGGCAGTAGCGCACTTAATTGTTTTCAGATCTACTGCCTCATGCTGTGTGTGTGTGTGTGTTGTGTGTGTGTGTTTGTAGGCAATAGCACATGTAGGTTTTTGCTCACACTTCTAACTTTTAATTTTTTATTTTATAAATTGTTTTCCTGTTGAACTGTATGACATATGGCGATCCAAAAGTGGAAGAAGTAACCTATTTAACTGCTTTAAACAGGGGTAGATACACACTGCATCTACCAACTGGTTATAAACATAGCAATGTATTACAGTAAATGTAGTATCTAAAATGCTGACTGGACCATTCAGTCCACATCCAGTACATTACACAGAGCATAGTGTCCAGTATTGTGAAATACAGCAAATGATTAATCTTCTAAGTTTGTGGTTATGATTAACCCTTATTTACACACAATCTCATTTAAGTGAGAACGACTCTGGAAGAACGGTAGTGGTGAAATTTCCATGATGAACAGATACTCTGTATGCAGCTCAAATAAGTGCCCTTGTAATTAATCACATAAACGATTTATTATCATGGCAAATTGTTAGTAGGCAGAGTACTGGCCTGGAGTAATATGCTAAAATGTTGTGGGCTCTAGGGATTTACAAACTGTGCTGTTTGTCTTAAAGAGTGACTGAGACTGTGGTACGTGGGTTACCATGCTAATTTTTTGCTTTCAGTAAAACATGCATTAACCTTCAATTCATAAACAATAGACTGGGTGATACAAATCTTTTCTTATTATACAAACTTTAAAACCCTTAAACCTGCTTGAACCTGATAATACTGACATATTATCACCTTGGAAAGTTGATATGGTGAAATTTACACATCCAGCAGAGATGTAGCAACATTAGCATTCATTTGGAGTTGTGTTTGTCTCCTTTACGTTCCGTTTTGGTCTGATCTCAGCCTCTCAAATGTGAGAATTTGCTGATTGTCTTTATTTTATATCATTGTAAATTGGATGTCTGGGTTTCGAGCCATTGGTCGGACAAAAATAGACATTTCAAATCGTCCCAAAAGACCAAAACAATGAGCTGAAAGATGCTTAAAGTTGAGAAAAACCGCAGCGTTGGAAGATAATTCTCTGCGGGTTTGTCATAAAAATATTGATTAGAGCAGCTTTGAAGAGCTATACTGATAGAAGTTATGGACAAATATCTTAAAGAGAAAATCCATCCCAAAACACTTGAGCACTCTTTACAACTGCTCCTCGAGGGCGTTGCTATAAATAAGAGCACCCTCTCACTGGACGATTCTGGTTAAATATTGGTTTGCTCTGCCCTGCCAGATCTTTCTCCTCACTTTGTTTTAGCTCTGTGCCAGCCCCGGAGAAGGCGCTGCTTAGTGTTCAAGTTTGTTCAAGTAGTGACAGCACAGGATGGGCGGACTCAATGTGGAGGTCTGCAGCCCGAGCCACAACCAACAGTGGAAGTTCACCCTGAATTTACAATCATAGGGGGCGCTACAGACCCTGCAAAGGGTTGGAAATTAGATAGACACCAACAGACTCTGAGACCCGTATAAAGAGATGGAAATAGACTCGAGGAAAAAGACAAACTTGATGGCAGCACAGCAAAGCGTTGATTTCATCTCGATGGTTGTTGAATGCTGCTGTGTGTGTTTTGGCAACTGGTTAAGAGGAGTGGGGAAACTGCGTAGGACTGTTTCCATGTGCTCGCATGAGAGCAGGCGCAGAATTTGCTATTCTCTCTCTTTTTTTTTTGCAATTGACTCATCTGTAAGCAAAGAAATCCCACCTTGAAGTCACTGTTATATTGGTACCACACATGCTGCAGTGTACTGTATATAGTTGTCCCTGACCTCTGCTCTGTGGTTTTAACTTTACTGCCTTTGCTGAATGATCTCTCACCCCTGTGCCCCAGAGCCAGACCAGAGAGGCCGGTAAAGTCTCAGGGCCAAGCTCAGGGGTCACCGTGGGACGACGAGACCAAGCGTTCAGCCAGGACCTCACCCCTCCTCACCCTGACCTCCCTCCCCCTCCTCCTCCTCCCCCTCTTCCTCCACCACCACCACCACCTCCTCCTCATTTGCCTCGTCCTCTGCCTGCTGGGCAAGGCCAGGATGCATCAGCACCAACCAAGAGCCACGAGGGGAAAGCAGGAAAAGGTGAGCTCCTGGAGTCATTGCATTTCTTGTTTTTGTATTCCTGCTACATTTCTAAATTGTTGCTTCACTTCCAGAAAAACATGTTGGACTATTTATAGTACATGTGAGCTTCTGTAATGGAGATATTCTCTACTGTGCTGTTGAATTATATTACTCTTTACTTTTCTTGATCTCAGAAAATTCTGTGCATATAGGCAAGTGTATGTGTCATGCTATACATTCAGTTAAGCTTGGTTGAACAAGATGTGGCATGCTGGCACGCTACAACTTTGCTTAAAGAATGCTGCCCTAAGGCTTAGGTGTGTGTGTCTGTGTTTGTGCACTTAAGCATGCACATGGTTTCAGGTTCAGGGTGATCGGTGATTGCAATCATCACAAAACGTTCTGAATCAATGATACCCACTATGATAAACCTTTAGGATATGTCTCAATATTTTCTTCAGTAACGCCAGATCTACCTATTGTCATACATTTCTACAGTACATTGAATGAAATTAAATAAGTGAAATGAGCTCTCCCTTTTTTCAGTTAAATCTATCAGTAACACCAACCTAATGCTGCCTATTGACAGGAGATACACTGCAGAACATAAACATTTACTTTTAGTTGTGTTTCTGGATACCTGTCAAATATAATATATATAATATTTACTCTTTTTTGTCTCTTTTTGACAGAACTTTTTGTTCTGTTTTGATCTTCACCAACACCTGAGCAAAATACCTGTCTCTTTAGCTACAAAATATTTGCATGTTTTTTTTTTTCCGCTAGTTACTAACTTTGTCTGTCTTCTGTTTGGTGCTGGCAGGTAGCGTTCAGGTGGTTTATCAGAGTTTTTTTTGCTGACTACAGCTGCCCGCTGTGGCCGGAAATAGGGCTGCAGCTACCGATGATTTTAGTAATCGAGAATTCTACAGATTATTTCATCGATTGATCGAGTAATCGTACTTTTGCTTGGCGGCGTGCCATCCCCCCGGATCAGCTGTGTAAGTCATGACTGTGACGTTGCAGGCCAAACTCCCGGCTCAACCAGGATGAAGAACACTAACAATAATCGCATGTTTATACAATTACAGCTGAGGAATACAGCTTACTTTTGCTAGCCTTCAACTCAACAACCAATCATGATTTAAGTTAAATGCTAAAGTTGCTGTTACTGTCACCCTGCTGTTACTGTGCGAAACAGTGCACTCTATGGTTATATGGAATAAACAAAGCATCGATGCAAAGAATTTGTGTCGATGTTTTTTAGTAATCGAATTATTCAAATGAATCGATAAATTGTTTCAGCCCTAGCCGGAAACGAGGTGGTTGACATTGAACCAAAATAAAGTTGTCGACCGTACAACCATAACAATGAGCTGAAAGATGCTAAAACGTTTTATAAATCTGACAGTTGGGCTATAATTATTTGTGGGTTCATCCCTCTTACATTACATATGGTCATATTGATTTGGGAAGTTTTAAGAGCTAACATGTTTTCAAATAATTAGTGTACACATCCAGCAGACATGCCAAATTAGCTTTCACTTGGAGTTGTGTTTCTGTTCATGTTGCAAATGTCCAAGTCCAATATTCACTCTTACTTCTCTGTTTAGTCTCCACCAACTCCAAAGAAATATATCTAGATCTTTAGCTGCTAGCCTAAAAGCCTATTTGGTACTGAATAGCTAGCACACTTGGTTTGTCAGGGCTAGCTAAAAGTAGCATCCTGTTGCTACTGGAAACAAGTAGACAAGACATTTTGGCATGTCATTGCAGGAGAAGCACAGGTGTAACTGATAACATTAAAACGAATGCAAGTTCCTGGATGAGCAAGTTCCTGGGTCCAGGTATTGTGCATGCTGCCCCACTGATCGCTGGAACACTTGGAACAGAGCCATTGTTAACGAAATGTGTTACACCAAAATTTCTGCCGTGAAAAGGTCTATAAGATGGACAAAGGTGTGAATCGTCCCACCCTAACAGGGGCAAGAAAACTGCCAGGACACTGAGGGTAATGTAGGGTGACCATATTTTTGTTTTCAAAAAAGAGGACAGTGGGGGCAGACAGACACCCGCAGTGGATGGAAGTGTGGGGCTGGGGGGATTCAAGTAATTGGTGGCACCGTGGAAATGTGTACTGCAGAGGCTCTATCCTACTGGAGGAGTAACTGGTATAAATTAGTGTATTAGTACAATATTATAACAAGAAATAAAAAAATGTATACAGTATAATACTAATATATTTATAGGTTGCACTTTATTTGGTTAATGTCTGCCTACAGATTGTTTATAGTAGGCCTATTTTCAACAGCTTATCAGTTGAGATTCAACAATTAAACCAATTCACAAATAAAACCGTTTATATTAAATATTAATAAAATAAATATTAATTCCAGTTAGTTTCATAATGGTACATTGTTCTCAGTAATTAAATCCTGGTCTACATGGTGGTTAGTCTCTAATTTGTTGATGCTATGTGCTAAAAAAAAAGAGGTGGTATTATGCTCATTTTCAGGTTTACATGGTTTCATTTTCAAAAAACGCCATACTGCACATTGCTGCAGATCCTCTTTTCACCCTGTGTTGAACCCTTCGTTTTAGCTATGGAGTGATACATCTTGCCTCTATATGATCTTTGTTGGGAGTTGCACTTGTGCAGTACCTAGTTAAGGACTACTAGCAAATCAGAAGCAGAGTAGTGCAGGCCCTGAGAAGCCGGTAAACACGGCTTCGGTTCAGCTGTATATGTTCCCCATACCAGTTTAGCAACATGGACTGGAGCAAGAGAGTGGTGAATTATTAATCTGTAACAAAAGTATCTTTTATCCATAAAGTTTTAACTGAGCTCTATCTCTACATCACAGGAACAACTTTGTGTCCATTGACTGCCTGAGGGCAGCTAGTGTTTGGAAGGGAGAGGAGAGGCAGCAGGCGGACGTCTTGTCACTGGTGTTTTTCCACCGGTGTTTTTGAGGGCATGTTGGACTAGCCGCTTGGCGAGCGTTATGACGTGCATTTTGCTGTGACGTCACACGGATGAAAGGGAAGTAAAGGCTGGTCTACAAACGAGCTGTTTTCAGGCAGTTCAGAGCAGTGTTTTCTGTGGGAGATGGGAACACCCTTTGGGCTTTTTCACTTTGCAAACCTATTACATGCACAAAAAAGATATATAACTCAATAAAGGAGAGAGAAAATGCCAAAAAGCATAATACCATCTTTTTAATGTCCCATCCAGGCTGTGATTGGTTGGTTCAAAGAAAGTGACATTGATGAGCAACTTTATGCACACGATTCTGAGATGCAGTTTGACCAATGTTTGTGTGAAGGACGTACAGGCCTACAAGACCGACCAATGGTGGCATGCCAGAAGACGGGACCTAAAGAGAGAGGTCAAAGCAATGCAAAAACACACACAATATGAATACCGACTGTCGAAAGCTAAAGCCGTATCCAGGACATTTTGGGCGATTTAGAAATCCCGGCAGCACGCATTTTTTAGGTCCCAAAAACAGGACATGTCCGGGAAAAAGAGGACATGTGCTCACCCTTGTAATTTCTGTTAAGCACAGTCTGTATTTGGCCACAAAGTCCTGTGAAGAGGTCTAATCAGGCAAAGTGAAAACTTTGTGGGTGTAGAACAGGAGCATAGATGACAGTGACACTGAGTTATTGGTTTTCATAAGGCAATTAGTTTACCTAGGATATCTTCCATTATCATTCATTTGAAATTAATCGCCCAGTGACCAGCTGGTGTACAGTATGTTGTTTAAGGTGGGCCCCGTGCCTCTGTCTGTAACACAATACTCAACTATCTAACTACCTCATGGTCACACCACATAGCTGTCACCAGCATAACACGCACACACACACGTACACACACAGAGTTGTATTCAGCATGTTGAAACGCATAAAACGCAAATGCAAAGAAGCGTACACACATACACACGCCCACAGGCACACACAATTAACTTTATATGCCATGTCCTGCCATTTTCCCTCTGTGTGTTTACAGTTTTTGCTACCTCAGCCCAGGCAGAATGAGCCACACCTTTTTTTTTTATGTGTTTTCCTAGCACACACATAAACTGTAGTTGTGAAGTAATATAGACACACAGGCAACATGAGGGATCTTAATCAATATTCATTATCATCTTTATTAAGAGACTGAAACTCTTTTGATCACATTATCGGCATGTCATGCACACATACTCTTGAACATCATCCCATCAAGTGTAGGAGTGCATAGTGTGGTATTTAGGGTGCAAAATGGATCTCTGCTCCATCCAGCAGGGGCACTGCAGAGTGAGGACACTCACACAGCTGCAGGTCTACTCTTGACTAAAGTTAAATAAAATCACTAGAAGGTTTTAAAAATGATTGTAGCATGGTAGCATGTCCAACGGGGGACGCTTGGTGAGGGATGGGTGTATGTGTGGGGGGGTGCGAGCGACTCCTCTGTCTTTACACCTTAACCCCCAGCTTTATTCATCGCCTCCTTTACTCTTCCCCTCTATTCCCCTCCCCTGCTGCTTGCTTCTGTACACCTCATGTTCAACTCAGTTTTACTTATATAGCGCCGAATCTCACAGCACTTTTCACATAGAGCAGGTCTAGACCGTACGCTTTATAATATTAATGTTGTTCCAGGCAGAGTTTTGGAGTCTAAAATGTCTAAATCAACACGTGCAGGTCTTCTGTTCAAACACACGCCTATGTATTTAGCATTCCCACCCTTTCAATTCACTCTCACCTTCTATCTAATGACATGGATCCAATGTCAGTGGAGCAGCCCCAACCTGCCTCTTCACCTGAGGCTCGCAGCCAGACATAGAAGTAGACATATGCGCAAATAATCCAAGATGTTTGCACACGTGAAGGCATACGGTCTTCATTCATGTGTGAGTACAGACAGATTTGCTTCAATATATTAATTGTTAACATGGATGTCCAAAAAATAGGGGTCAGAATGCATTTTGACAGGAGACCAAGTTTAAACTAAAAATGTCACAATATAAAGCCATGATATAAAGCCGTCAGTTTTAAATATAAATATGTGCTCTTAAGTTACACTGGGTGATTGAGAGTGATGGTGGGGAGGTCATTTGGCCTGTCAGGAGTTCTCCATATGTAACTGCCTTAACAGTCTTGAAGGCTGGTACCAGGCAGCCAGTGGGGAGAGTACAGGTTGGATCAGACAGATAACAGAATTTGGGCAGGTTGAATCCCAGGTGGGGAGCGCCATCATGATTGAGTTGTACAGTAGCAGCTGTGGGTAGGGCTTTGGCAGCATGGTCAGCTCTCACAATTACTTAGATCTCACAGATGAGTTTGGCTCACTTGGCTCACTGGAAGGTGGCAGAGGCTACTGAAAGGAAGCTGAAGGAAGAGTATGTGTTATAGTTGGGATATATATTGACAAAATACTCTCATATGGAGGCATGGATTTGAATATGAAGGGAGATAAAAGACAGTAATTGGAAGAGGATAGCAAGTAGTGTTGCAATTTGCCATTGTGGATTGTTATTTCTGTTAACTGATCCAATATTTTGGGGGTGAGCAATATGGTTAAAATCATTTATAATTTTTTATCATGATATTGATAAATATTGTGATCTGTTGTATTTCTCAACAGAAAAATCTGTAGAGAAATTGTTAATGGATAAAATAACCAGACATGTCTGACTGTTTTTGGCCAATCCAGCAAATCAAGTGACACACAAAAATCCAATATTGCCATAAAGCAGCTCTTTCAATTTCGAACATTTCTTACATGAACGAATAGATACCACAGTATTAACGGTAATTCAAAGTCAGTTAAGCTAGACACATTTGTATGATCTGATTGCATTTATCATAATATTGTACACCCCTGGAATGTTTAGTCTCGACTATGCTTTAGAATTCCCATTTCATTTTCTCAGTGTTCAAGATGATATCTTTAAATTATTTGTTTTGTCCAACAAACAGATCAAAACACAATTATATTCCATTTATAGTGATATAAAATGGAAAAAATTGCAAATCTTTAAGGAAACTTGAACAATTGAATGTTTGGCATTTGGCTTATGACTGAATTAAAATAGTTGTTCATTAGAAACTACAACAACTGGGGCACTTTCACTTCTTAAACTGAACTGTAAATTACAAAAAGCGACACCTAGATGGTACTGAGAAGTAAAATATCTAATTAGATTTTTAATGTGAACCATAGGAAACTACTAGTAAAGAGGGTTTTTTTGCAGTGCAGGATTCATTCTGTAATAATAACATTTGTCATTTGATGTTGTTTTCACTTCATGTCTTGCAATACCAGCCACCTACTCATAGCTCTTTTTTGAACAGATTAAATGCATGTAGTTGCGGAAGCAGAGTCCCAGTGAGAAATCTCTGCACCTGGGGAAGTAATCAACATGGAGTCACCAAACGTTGCACACACTGTACACTGCAGTCATTTTGTGCTATGGGTCAGTGGTATCGAGACAAAGCACAAACAGTGCAGGTGATCTGCCTGTTTCCATCACAGTAGTTACACCTGAAGACAGGATTAAACAACTTCACTTGTAGCATCTGGTTTTGTTTCCTTTGAGACTAGACCAAGTTTAAATTCCTCCAGGCCCTTTAAAATAATAAACCCTAAATGACTGATGTGTTAAAGCAGCTGTCTCCAACGTGTGATGTTAATCATCTGTGAAACGATCTCTGCTTCATCCAGTGGTCATTGAGAAGGTGATGCTGAGAGGAGTGACACACAAGTCTGAAGACACCAGTGAATATGTGTTTGAGGTGGGTCCAGTGTAAACACAGATACACGCACGCTGTTGACTCCTGCTCACTTTTCCAGTTTTTATTCCATTTATCTCTCCATCTTTTTACCCTTTCCATCCACCTGGTTTTCTGCTTCCTCTGCTCCATCACCTCCGCCTTCCCCTTCTCCTCATCCTGCATCCTTTCCACTCCCCCCTCCAGGCCAGCTGGTCAGATGGTTTTGTGTCATCTGTTGTCAGAACTCAGCAGGAGGTGACAGAGCTGCTGTCCCAGGTCAGGACCACCACTGAAACACACTTTCCCTGATTGATAATAATAATCTCAGATGATACTCAGGTTCAGAGAATAATAAAAGGGCTTAATTACTGTTTATTCTACAGAATAAAGTATAAAGGGTCTGTAAAAATATTAATGAATGGATCCCTTTTCCTTCTGTTTCTGATTTAAAGCTTTTTCTGTTGCTATGGTAGTATTGACACAAATATGTGGTAATATGTCACCCTTCTTACACCCATCTTAGTACAAAAAAACAAAGAAAATCTTTTTTCACAATTATAAATACATCTGACATTGAGTGAGTACAAAAAAACATCTAGAACGTAAATTATGTTCATACAAAGTGCATGCATATCTTTGGATAAGATTTTCTTCTCAATTGTTAAAATACTTCTTTCTATCACTATGCTCATTGTACCTTATTAATCATTGCGGGAACATTTCCTAATATACATAATTATATATATTGTTGTTTGTTTTGCCTGATACGTTCAGATTCCAAACGTCAGAATCACCACCACCCTAAAGCGTGAGATTTTTATGTGACCTCAGTGGGATTAAAGCCCACAACCTTAGCATTGGTAGCATAGTGCTCAAACTAACATTTGTTATATTTGACTAAACAAAACGTATATGTTGCAGTAAAATACTGTACTGTTTGTCTTTATTGATCACACTAATAATTGGATAGAAATTATGTAAATTGATTTTTGTCGATTGTGATGTGGTAATATACAGTTTTTTGCCCTACCTTCAGCACTTCAAAGAGAGATTTTGAAACATTGTTTTGTCTTGGACTAAATGATTTACATTTACTATGTAAGTTACAATAACTTAACTGAAAGAATTGTTATGTTTAGATGACTTAACAAATGTTGAATCATAGATGTTGGGATGAAAGATGTTAACAAACCGATTGAAAGCAAAATCAGTTGTTTTGAATGTAAGATTTAATGGTTTAGAAGTATGATCTGTTTTGGACTCTTGTACTTGTACATACTGGTAATAGTACCATAGCAACAGAAAAAAAATGTAATTATGGTAAACAGACATTTGTTCTTAACTACACAAAGTATTGTGTTATAGTGATGTATAGCTTAGTATCATCGGCATAGAAATGTAATGACAATGTGCTTAGTTTAGTATGTGTTCATGTCCTAATTGTTGAACTTTTCTCTCTAAGCTGTCACAAGCATTTCCAGATGAAGGAGTGGAGAAATCTCTCCCTCAGTCCAAAGAGCTGGACCCCAGGTTAGTCTCATAACCCTACTTGTTTATTTTTGCCCTATAAAAAGTGTGGTTTCTGTCTCATCATAGAGAGGTGAGTTCCAGCTGAGGAACGTAACATATTTGGTTGAACATTTTTCAGGCTCATCAGACAATTCAGTTCATGTAAAGTTTGAGTGGTCGACACATGTCACTGACTGTCCATATAAGCATTTGCAAAACGTGAGAAAGCTGACAGGAATGTGTATCGCTGACGGCCTTGTAAAAGCATTACCTCTCCATAGTTTTGACCACAAATGTACCATAGTACACTAGTGGTCAAAACCTCCCCAGGGTTCATTCAGTCCTCCAGCACTCTGGTTGCAAACACATCATATTTATCATATGAGTCATTGCGAACACCTGTGAACATCGCTTTGCTCGCTTGCTAGTTGTCTGGCCAGCAAAGCAGAGACCCATTAAAAAGGCAAACTGTCACAATAACCTAATTAAATTGTGCTAAAATGTTTTAAATGACTCAATTAATTTACATCTACAGTACAAACAATCGTATTGTTGAGGTATCTCATTGTCTTGCCTGGTTGTTAATATGTTAAGATGTATATACACTGATATGCACATAGCTATTTTTAAGTGCTCCACAGCACATCTTGGAGATGTGGTGTGGAGTTTATTTTAATCCAACCTCCATGCATCTCTTCTTGTAGTTTTTGAATCCAGTTGACTTTCTTTGGCCTCCCTGTGTCTGTCTGACTCCCTGTCTGCCCCCCTGCTGTCCTGTCTCTCTGCCTGCGCCCAGGTGTCTGACAGCGCTGCCCTGCCATGTCCTCCAGCACCACAACGTCCAGCTGTTCTTTACCTCCACCAGGCCTCTCTCACCCAACTCCCCTGGCTCCCTTCCCTCCTCCCTCCCTCCATTACCCTCCCCCCTTCCTGTAGCCCCAACCTGCCCGTTCACCTCCAGCTCTAGTGAGTCTTTATTTTGCTTTATTGTCAATGATGTCTTTTTTCTTTGGATTTGGATTTTTGTGTCATTTCTTCTTTTTTTGTGTCTTCTTTTTTAAATGTATGTAAATGTAAAATAGGAGTTGACATGTAGCAGAAGTCATCAGATAGGTTTAAACTGCAGGTGTCATGAGTGTGTGGCAGCAGAGTCTAAAGAACTAGTAAGTCTTTATAGAGGGCAGCAGGGATATAAAATATACTATTCTTAGATACAGGGAAAGAAGGTGCCAAGGAGGGATGGGGCAAGATAAAACATTTCATGTCTGTGTTCTGGTGTTGGAGTTGGGGGAAAGAAGGGGGTGTGAAAAAAGAGGGAATGGAAAGGACAATGCCATGAGTGTATGTCTTGGTTGTTGGTGGTGCCAAAGTGATAGAGGTGAGACTGTAGACAGGATTTTCAGTTTGTGTTTTGGAGGTGTTGGAGGGAGAGGACGGGGTCTATTTTAGTCTGGTGTGGGAATTCTGCGTGGCATGTTTGTGTTGGGAAGCCTAGAGTGTGGTGACCTCATGCTGATGTGTGTGAGTGTGTGTTTGAGTCTGTGAGTGTGACTTCATCCTGGAGAGTATTTATAGCCCATCAGTGCAGTGTATATCTGTGTGTGCTTGCACTTTTTGCATGTGTTTCTACTTTTGTGTGTATGTGTGTGTGTGTGCCAGACTCACAGGAGACCCCTGGGAAGCAAGGCTAATATGGATGTGTCTAACTCTGCTGTAATTTGTCTCTACAAGCACACAGAGCTCCACCACAATATGTCACAGTCCATTCTTCATAATCTGTACCGAAGCTGTAATATCACATTTATTGCATTGAACACATGGGTCACTGCGTGCGTGCTTCTGGTTAATAGGTTTATCTCAATAAACACACAGCAGACACTGCTTTCAGACAAGAACAAAATGACGCCTGACCAAATCTGCATGCTCTTATACAAATTGTCTCATTGATAAACCTTGCGAATTTTTTTAATCGGTCAGCCGACTATGCAAAATGCCTACACTTACGAGGCCAATATACAAAATATACGTCAATGTTTGGAGCAGTACACTTCCTCAGTCACCATCGTCTTTTCTATAAGTTAACATGTTTCTCCCATCCTAAATGACTGCAACAGCAAATCTCATTTAAAATCATTACTGGCTAGGGTGAAATAGATAATAAAGCAGTTGAATGATGTCACTTCTGCAAACTGCACCCCAAACTCACTTTAACACCAGCCATGTTCTGAAATCTACAGCAGAACCCAATGTATTTTTCTATTTCATCAATTAATCAAAAATTCCATCTAAACAATACATTATTGGCTAAGATAACATGTATATTAGATTGTACTCTTAATGGAATAATGGAGTTATACATGAGTTTGTTTTGAAATCGGCATTATATGTCGCCCATCGGCCGTCCTGTTCTCTAGATATCTGCATTGGTATTGGCCATTGAAAAACCCGTATTGGTCGCCGTATTGGTATTTTATTTTTTATTTCAGTGCACAAATGTCCCAAACATATTTTGGAAGGTTGAAATTATGACTTACCCCATGAAACCCCATTGCATCTAAGTAATATAATTTGAAAAATATTTTTCTAAGTGCATGCATTGCATTTTACCTTTAAATTAAAACAGAAGATCAAATTATCTGGTGGCCATTATCTATGGCATTATTTTACAGTTCTCTGACTAACTCACTGCATAATGTATTACTCCATTAGATTTTTTTATTTTGCGTGGTATTTGAGAAAATTAGGCGTGTAGCATTATGTGATCAGAGTTTCGCAAATTGAGCCAAAGCATATGCAAAATATTTTAAATGAAATGGTTAAAGATGTCTTACTGTTTATTTTAAACATGCGCTATCTGGGTTTCACTCACTCGATCACATGGGTGAATTTATTTGTTTTGTTTTGTTTTGTTTTGAGTTTGGTGGTGATGATAATGAAGATGATGAAGGTCCTTGTGTTTTCACTCTGTCCCTCAGATCTTGGCTGTACAGTTCAGTACAGAGGAACCAACAGGTAAGATTTTTTTCAATCTTTGTATTTCTATCATACATCATCATCATAATTTGTGCCCCCTCAGACTCAGTCTCTTTCTCTCAGGGCGGTATACAGAGTGGCCAGCGTCCAGCCCGTCGTCAGCACCCACAGCTCTGTCTTGACTCGCCCTTCTCCTCACGTCTCCTCCCTCCCTCCTCCGCTTCCTCCCTCCATTCCTCCTCCCCAGCACTCCCCCCAGCTGTCCTCCCTCCCTCCCCCTGTGCCAGCACTGCACACCCAGAGCTGCATGGCTGGCGGAGGTGATCCCTCCTCCCAGGTGCATCCCCAACACAGTCCGTCGCACTCGTACTCTCAGCACCACCTTCATCAGCAAACAAGCAGTCAGTCCAGCGCCCAGTCCCTGCACCTGTCCCATTCCCTGCCAACGTCACACTCACATTCCCAGTCCCTTTCGTACCCCCAGTCCCATTCCCTGTCTCGTTCCCAGTCCCTTACACAGACACCATCCCAGTCCCAGCCCAGCACGCCAGAGCAGAACGGCATCCTGGACTGGCTCCGCAGGCTTCGGCTCCATAAGTATTACCCTGTCTTCAAACAGCTCACTATGGAGGAGGTGGGTCAGCTTTAGGTTCTATCCTGTAATTTCTTTATTCAACATATCTTACAGGAAACAACAAGTAGGCTCAGTAACTAACTAAAATGAGCATTTGAAGCTGTGGTCATGATTAAGCTGTGTACTTTCTAAATAAACCAGTATGCCTGATTTTCTTATACATGATTATTGTTTCCGCAAGTTCTAAACCTGTTTCCCTGTCTGCTACAGTTTTTAGCACTGACAGAGGAGGATCTGAACAAGTACGACTTGACCCAAGGAGCAAAGAAGAAACTCAAGACTCAACTAGAGCTACAGAAGTCAGCAGAGTAAGCTGCAGATGTCACACACTTTTTTGATTTTTGATTTTTTAGATTGTCTGGGTTCAAACTGTATTAATGTGTCACTATGTTTTCACCTCTTGTGCACTGCAGTGTAAAAGATCAGTCCTCTGCGGCTTTGAAGCGTTAAATAGATAAGTTATTTATTTAAAGTTTTTTTGCTGTATTGGCATTTCAAAGCATACATTTTTTTGATAATCCACAAGGAGCCATTTTATTGAAACATCAAACATTACTTAAAGGAATACTTTGACTTATAGGGAAATATTTACTTTCTTGCCAAGAGTTAGATGAGAACTAGGAATCTTGAGGGGGGATGCGATTAGCTTAGCTTAGCTTAGCTTAGCTTAGCTTAGCTTAGCGTAAAGACTGAGACAAATGAAACAGCTAGCCTTGCTCTGTACAAAGTTCAAAAATACACAATACTACCAGCACTTCTAATGCACAAATAAGTAACATTTGTTTGTTTGTTTAATTGATACACAAAGAGAGATTTAGCTATTCAGAATTTGCCGCGTCACAGTTTGTTACATGCTGTAAATATTTCTTGGTAAACAACAGAAATACTTATATGTTACTCCCTCTAAAACCACAAATTGTCATTTTTAGCTACATTTAGGTAGGCATAATTTTGAACTTTGGACTGCTGTCAGGCTTTAAGCTAAGCTAAGCTAAGCTAATCTCCTCCTGGCTTCAGCTTTGTACTTAACACACAGACAAGGGAGTCCGCTTTAATACTGAGAAGTTGCACTGTAACTTGCACTGTACATTTGCAGTTAAACTGAGGCTTATTGTTGACCCTTTTCTCTCCGCTATGCTCGCCTGCCATTCTCCTGTCTTGTGCTGAGTTGTGCATGTCCGTCAACAGTTGCATGCACCTCGCAGATGTGCACCTCGCATCGGAAGAAAACCGGTAGTTCAATGTAAAATCAGACATTGTGCACCCTCATAGAGCCAAAATGGCATGATCCTATTTCATAACATAGGCTCCTTCAGTATTGAATCTTTGAGTATTCAGGGTCACTCCTACATCAGAGCTGTGCAGTGATCTGAAAATAAGGCACTGGCTCTGGCCAATCAGAAGACAGTATTTTCTATGGTTGTGGTAGAACTGAAATGTAAATAAGAGCCAACCCATCATGGATAAATCCCACCATTCTAAAAGCCACTGTAAGTAGAACAAAATCAATTAATCAGGGAAACAAGAAAGTACTATATGTACCTGTTCATGTCTAATGAATGAGAAAAGTTCAGCTGTTGGACCCTTGATGACTGGATGTTCAAAAACAAAACCAATTAAAGAGCTACAGTAATAATCAATCAGTAAGTCACTATTTCATCATCATCATCGTCCTCATCATGATAAAACATGCAAGCAGATTTTGAACTGAGGGTGCACAAAATCACTCCAAAATTCTGCACTCCTTCCACTAATCTTGACAAGCATGTAAAAACATCTTGAATTTGTTTTTATGCTAGCATAATAGTTTGCTCAATATGAAATTCCCATATATTGGAGGTGCAGAGGACAGTGTGCACCACACACTGTGCTGATGTACTGGCAAGTGATGCTGTTGCTATCCTCAGGCAGAGCATCCGATAAAATAACTATTCGCTTTACATTGAAGGAAGTTAGTCTACATAACTTTGTAATAAAGTTGCAACATGAGAGGACTCTTTTCTGCAAGAACTATCATATAAGTGCAAAGCAAAATTATCTGCCAACAGAACAAGAATATTTCACTTGCTACTTAAGGCCAAAAAAAACTTGAAACAGGTGAAATTCTCTAACATAAAAGCCGCCTGGTAAGAAAAAATATTTTGTCAGAAAGTATATTTTGCCTTTAATTAAGATAATCTTACTAAGATTTTAGTTTTTCCAGTGCAGATGCTTTGGCCTATTAACGATTAACAGACCGAGTGATCAGCCGCTGATTTCAACAGTAAATATGCAGCAGTAATGGTCCAAAAGGCGTCAATGGTTAACCTGCTGTAGGTGGGAAGCAGAGATAAGATGTACTTAGGAGGAGATAACCAACAAAAACACATGCAAAAACATGGACATGCAAGCAAATGTATCTACATTTTCTGACTCTTACTTAAACACATCCACCCAGTCAGACACACACACCTGTGAACCTGCTTTTATTATCTCTTGATCTTGGTGTTTCCATCCTGAGCATCAACAGGTTTCCATGAGGCAGGTGACAACATGAGTGTGTGTGTGTGTGTGTGTGTGTGTGTGTGTGTGTGTGTGTGTGTGTGTGTGTGTGTATGTGGCCATGCTTAAACAAGACATAGAAAATGGAAAGTTCCTGCAGTGAGTTTCCATGTGAAGAGGTTGCAGATGTTTGTACTAGAGCAGTTGGGATGCTGAGGAACATGTTGAGTGGACAGTGTCTCCCCCTGGTGGCGATAGGGGAACACAAGCTACCGATAAACTCTTTGAAAAACATAAATAACATTATCGTGTTATATATGTTTTTTAAGATATTTTGCTCCGTTCCAGTCAACTATCCACACACTATTCACATGAACATTCCTTTACAGGAGAAGTCTAGCTCATAAGATTATAGTTATGTTAAAAATAAACAGGATGAACCACAACATGCATCAAACCTTTCTGCCTGTGTGTATACCCAGCAGGGAGATGAAGATGGAGAAGCGGTCCTGCAGTGGCATCGCCAGGGTGACACCTTCCAGTCACATGGGAGCCTCATCACATCCCACCTCGACTGCAGGTAACAAAGCTGGTTTGTCTCATTTGACTTCATTCACACAAAAGTTTCCTACATTTAGATGGGAGAAATCAATGTTTGCAGTGTCCCAAAATTTCTCGACTTGGTGTTCAGTAATTAGTATGATTGTGAAACAGCCACCGTTCCCAGTTCCCTGGATTAAAAACAGTCCAAAATTGCGGTGTATTGAAATGTATTTCAGGAGAGCTGCGAGTCGAGGTGGATGCTGTTCTGCACCATCACCCCGTCTCTACAGACAGCAGCTCGTCCTCAGGCTACTCCAGCTCTTCCTGCTCCCCACAGAGAACACCACTCTGCTGTGACTCGACCTTCGACAGGACCAGAGACATTCACAGGCGTAAGTTTTCTCAACAGTTGAGTTATCACAAAAGGATCCTGAAAAAAGGAAAGATGGCAGCAACTTGAAAGTGCCATGATTTCCCTTTATGCTCAATGCTTGATATATTTATTTCAATTCATGTACAAAATAAATTAACATTAGCACGGGCTGACCAGAAATCTCCCTACTTTACGATACTTCTTCAGTATTATTATGGAAGCAAAGAAGCCATAAGATTTTTAATCTTATTAGCAACTGAATACCTAAGTGTAAAAAGTATAAAAGAATACTTTAATAATTTATACAACACCATGTATGTCATATTTTACTTTGAAAACCATCTAACTTGAATTTACATGGTTTGAATTCTCCTCTTTGAAATTTCCAGCAGGTAATTTTATGTTGTGCAAATGATTTTAAGCACCAATTCAGACAGATAATTCAAGCGTCAACTGTTTGTTTCAAGTTGCTTAGATTCTGTTGGTCATTTTCAGACCTACATATTGAACATAACCAAAAAAAATCAAGCTGCTCAAATAGCATTTATAAAATTCAGACACCATAATTCAAGATGAAAAATTCAAACTTGAACATCCAGGCTACCCAGGATAATCAATCGATTACACCTCTGGTCTGTCAGATTATGTTCATCCATGAAAAACAACACACTGTTTTTCTATCCTTTTTTTTTTTCATGAATCTTTTTAACCTTCTGGAGATAAAAAGGGGAAATTCAAAATAAATTCTGTGGTATTATTAGTAGTTATCAAATTTCACAATTTGGTATTCAGACAATTTTAAAAATTCGAAATATTTTTTTCTTCCGTATATTGTGTTTGTTTTAAACCTTGTTTTTTTTATTTGTTTTAAATCAGGTTTATTGGTTTTTGTTTGCTTCTAAACCTTTACAAAAACCCGTTTACAAAAATGTAATTTACAATCCAATCATCATCTCATTCTCTCTTCCTGTTCACAGCCATGTTGCTCTTTATTGAAGGTTTGTGGCACTTCCGCATTGGCTTCACTTTTCAGACCCGGAGGTCACGCTTGGCGTCTATACTGTCTGTCATATAATGTAAAGTTATTATGTTAGCCAATTTCTCTAAGACCAAACTGTAAGACATCTCCTAAATCCATGGACTAGAATAACACCTTTGAATGTCAGGTATACGTTTGGGTCGTAACAGACAGAAATGAATTTGTTTGCTTTTCCTTACTTTTTCTTCGAAAATCTTCAGGCTTTATATGGAATGTAGTTTAACAGATTTAATGGTGGCCCTGCGCACTCATTTATACTTTATGTAACACTTTGTCCCTTACAACCCCAATAACTTTATAATTAATGAGAAAATTAAATATTGGGTTTTTAAAGAAACATGTTTGATAGTACTTTTTATTGACTGTGTCAGGTCGTTCCTCTCTCTTCCTCTGTCTGACATTCAATCACACACACAGGGATTAAAGTGAACTTTCAACACACTACCATGTATCTGTGTTACAGGTGTGTCAGGTCCGGACTCAGCAGGCGGGGGTCCAGAGAAGGACCGATCCTGCCTCTTCATCCTGAACTCCAGCTGCTCGAGTCGCCCCACAGCCCAGGTTTTACCTGTCCAAAACGATGTAGCTCCTTCTCTCCCTCCCTCCTGCTCCTTCGGCCTCCCACAGTCTCCCTACCACCCACAGGCCAGTTACAACCAGACCCTGCTCTCCCAGGTCTCAAACCCAGCACGCATCCTAACTTCCCCGCGTAAGCCCAGGCCCCCTCCACTGTGCATGGAGGACAGGACTAAGCAGCTGGGCTCGAGCCTGCCTGCGGCCGGTGCAGGCTTCAGTACAGGGCTCAGTGTGGGGATGGGGGTGAGGCTGGAGAACCTGTTCCCAGGGCGTAACATGGATGGCTCCTCCCCTCTCCAGGACTCTGTGGTTTGCCGTGGCCTGGCGGGAGGTGCTGTAAGTCTGATGGTAGAAACCAGTTCTGCTCTGACCTCCACCTCCAACAGCCTCCACCACGTCTCGCACCCCCCTCTGCACTTCCACCTCTCGTCCTCTTCATCTCCATCTCCATCTGGATACTACTCCTACCCACCTACCTCCTCCTCATTCTCTTCTTTCTTGTGTCCCTCCACAAAGTCCGGGTCACAGTCTGGCAGCTCCAGTAGTGGTGGTGTTGTTCCCATAGCAACTGCAAGCAATGTTCCTGTGGCAGCAGTGCCCGGCAGCGCTTACTACCCGCCCCAGACCACCTCTAGCCCCTCCCCGTCCCCCTCCTCTGCCTCTTCGTTGGATCAGAGTTCAGGTCACAACCCCTCTGTGTGTGTTTGCAGCTCCTGCGGTTGTCGGGGCAACTGCGGTGCCTATGGGGCGTTGCCTGGATACGCAGCGGCCGGCTACCTGCAGCAATTCTCGGCCGGCCCCTCCCTCTTCACCCTGGGTCCTCTGCTCCATCTCAGTCCCCTGATAGCCTCATCCAGCACAGCTGGCACCGGAGCCACGCCCTTCTCCTACCCGATGATGGTGCCGCCGCCGCTCTACCGCCCCAGCCCTGTTTCACATGACCAGCCGCAGGGCTTTGCCTTCTACCAGCCCCATGGCATTTTGGGAAATGGAGGCCAGAAACGGGCAGTAGGGAACCTGTCGTGTTATAACTGTGGTGCCAACGGACACAGAGCAGAGGAGTGCAAACAGCCGCCCATGGATTCAGCACAGCAAGGTAGGTGAAGGAAATAACAAATGAAATTACATGTAAAAATCTAAATAAAATAAAAAGAATATATGTTTTAATTCAATTTCCATTTAAAAGATGCAATATAAAACTTATAACTCTCTTTTTCTTCCTCATTTATTGTAGTAATTAAATTGTGAAATAGATTATGTTTGCCATACTCTGTCAAAAAGGTTTACAGTTAAAGTAATTCCAGTGAGGTAATGTAAATGTTCAAAGTGCACTGACAAATAGCAACAAAAAACAGAATGCTAGGGGTACAGGCAGATGCATTCAGCATGACAAAAGACAGGCTAGCAAACTCTGACGGACACATTAGAAATCAAGGCAGACAGGAAACAAAGCACGACACGATCACCCGATACAGACATTTTCCAAATAAAACTGGAAACAAGCTGAGACACAATCCAAAAAAGCAGACACACAGACCAAACCCTCACACACTCATAATCAAATGGAATAACAAAATACAATTTATAAGCCTTTTACATTAATGTAACTATTCCATTATGAAATATAATACACAAAAAAACACATGCTTTAAATGCTAATTCTATTCAATGTGGGTTTTCAAACATTACAATCCTCTCATCTTGTTTCTATGTGGTAAAACCTATAATTGATCCATAAATACATAAGAATAGGCAGTTTTTCAGCAAGCAGAGGTGCAAATACTGTATGTATGTGGCTTGAGCTTGTATTCAATCATTGTAAAGCTTCAACATAGCAAATGTATTTCTCTGTTGTGTCTCACAGGGACATTTCGACTGAAGTACACTCCTCACTCTGACAGTAAGGACTCGGGGGACTAACAAGCAGAAGCACCAGTGGATTTGAACTGTCACGCTAGAGGCACAGCTGTACCTCATGTTCCTGCTGAAGCTAGCAGACAGCGTTTAGACAGGCAGTCGGCTTCTGGAGTTCAACGAGACAACACAGACCCCATGTATGTTTTGTAATTCTTGTACAGCAGCTTATGGAGAGATGAGGATGGAAGAGAAACAGATTGCTGAGAAGAGAGGAGTGGTTGTCACAGTTTGTGTCATCGGATTAGCTTTCATCCCTCCTCAGATCTCCACAGATACAAACACGAATCACAAGGAGGGCTGGAGATTTGTACTCTGCCTCGCTTCATTTCAGAGACGTGGCTGGAATTCTGCCTCATCCTCAGAGGAAACACTACACACAGTTAGTCATGTTACCTATGGTGCGGTACAACCAGAGAGTCAAAATCTGCCTCCCAGCTAAATGACTGAGCATTAATAGTCTGTATGGTTCACAAACCAGAGGCAAAACACCTGATGTTCTAAACTTCGTGGGCACTAAGCCAAGTGCATTTGACCTAAACATAAAACCCAGTTTAATCAAATTATTGTGACAGCAACAGCAAAGCACCAGTGTTATCTTCCCTTCCCAAGTTCCTTGTTCTGTTGTACGTCCCGTGATCTGGTTTGGCTCATCCAGTTGCAAGACCTGTGTCCCAATTCCATGCTACATACTCATTATACTACATATTAATTGTACACAGCATATATCACGTAATAATATTCATAGAATAAGGTTTTTGCAGCTAGTATCCAAGAACTCTTTTTGTTTTAAACTAACAGGAAATGATGCAATAGCTGCACTGAGTAAAGGCAATCAAACTGCGACTTTGGAACGCAACTGGCAGTTAAACTTGGCAAGAAGTTTAAATACCATCTACCAACTCATTTTGTGAACAGTCCCTCTCATCTATGAGCATTGCATTCTGGGAGAAGAGTGTCCATCAGCAGCACACTCAAAAATCAAGCGTTTTTAGTATGCCTATCATACTATCTACCTTATTTTGTCTCTTTTTCAGTGCCAACACTATAATCCACAAAACCTGCTTAGAATTAGTGCACAGTAAGGATTTGAGACACATAAAAGGTTGTATCTTAAAGAGGAGCAAAAGAAAGAAAAACTGTCAGTGCTATGCAGCAATGTTTTGATGAGTGGGTCTGTGGTAAACATGGTTGTGCAGTACTTTGCAGATGTTTAATGCGGGAGGAAATGCACTCAACATGTTTGTTAGACTTTAAGGATACACACAGTGTGTTATGGTGAGAGACACTTTATGTAAACATAAATGTGTTTGTTTACAAGAAGACGTGGCACCTGATTCAAGGGCTGGATCCCTCTGAAGGAATCAGCTCAAGAAGGGGGATCCTTTGCAGGACCTGAGGTTCTGCTGCACCTGCTGGTCTACCCCTGTTTAGCTGATCTAGCCCAACACAGACTGTATTCAGGCACTTCCATGTGAACTTAATATATTTTTTTAAAGTTGATGATGATGATGTGGCATTAAAAGGCTGGTGATTACCAAGGATTACAGTACAAGTAGACACAGCATAACCGTCATCATTAAAGTGTGTGTGTGTGTGTGTGGACAGGTCACACTTGGAAAGTGGAATCCCTCTTCAGCGGCTGGGGGGGTCACACAGGGAAGCTGCACCAGCCACTGTGTTGTCCATAAAAGCTCTTTACCGGTGCCCTGCAGCCTCTCTACCTCGGAGCCAACCTGAAACTGTTCCTCTGTACCAGGGCAATCTGAATGCACACTAAATGTTTTCAGACACTTCGAAAAGTCAGCACAGTGTCTTTGTATGTTCAGTTCACACCAGTGTTTCTGTCGTCATTCAAGCTGGACTGACATTTCAAAAGTGCCAATTTGTTTTCAGTTCAGTATGATGATGTCTCATTTTTCATGTTGTTAAATGAATGTTGAGCAGCGTGGACGTTAATCCTAAATGTGTTCTCACTCCAGAAGAGATGGAGTTGACTCTTTTTGCAATTAATATGTATGTCTTTATGCAAAAGAATGTTTGTATAAAATTCAGGACTGTTGATTTGGAGAGAGCCTACACAGGATTGGAAATTGGAGAGAGCATAAGCAAGATGGAGAATGTTTTGCAGTATTTTCAAGTCTGACTGTGAGTGAGTTGCTGGGCAGGACCCAGAGTTTTACAGACACGAGGACAGCTGGTCCTTCAGATGAAACTCTATCTGTACCCCTGGAGGGCACAGCACAGGGACATGGGGTGTTTATTTAAAATGGTAAATAAATACTGAACATTCAGTATGTATAACAACATCTGTCTGTTGTTTAAAATAAGTCAACAGTGTGCGTTTGTTTGTAATAAAATGTCTTTGGAGTATTGCTTTTTCACAGAAGTATGGGCCTTAGAATCAACCAGCCAGCCTTCGCTTGTTCAGCTGAAGGTTCATTTAACTTTCTCTGTCTCCATGAACATGGACGCATAAAAACACTTCATACATTGTTTTCAATGGTCGCACAGAACAAGAAAATTGCCTCCATAGATCAGAAGTGTCACATAGCTCCATTTCTGGTGTTTGTTTGTTTTTTACTTTTAGTTTTGCTGTTTCCTTCAAGCCAGAATCTGAATCTGTAAAAATCACAGAAGAACCTGGTTAACTGATGCTCAACGTGCATGTTGCTCTTTACCTTTAGTAAAATATTCTTTTGCAATATTTTGTGCAAATGTTTGAACACAGTTTATAATTATCCAGTTCATTTGTAGGTCATTTTATATTACTAAATTTGTTTTAAAAGTTCAGATAAAAAATGTTTGAATAAATGTGTCCTGCCTGTCTTTCATCATATCGTGTATATCATTTATTTATTAAGTTAAAGGGTCATTTCAGCCATTTTAGAAATTCAAAAACAAATCTAATAGGCCTTTTACACAGCAGACATTTTGACTTATAACAGGAAAAGCACAGACATTACTAATAACATTAAAGCTGGGGCTGGCTGTGGCAGGACTGTAATAAACATGGCCAATTGGTCCGAATTAAATGATTTGCTGGCCTACCTGTGCGCACTCTGCCCCACTCATTGCACATGAAAATGTGTTTTGGGGGACTGGCTTTGTGGGGAAGCCTGAAAGGGTTTTAGCATAATCTTGCTACCTATTGAATTAACAGTCTTTTTTTAAGGAAATGCTCAAAATAGATTTCACCAATTTTATTCCACATATTTCTCTTCCTTGTTAAAAAAGTGACTACATTACCCACAATGCAACACGACTCCGACTGTTCATTAGGAAATTCAGGTGCGTTATTAGTAGTGGCTAATTTAGCCCCAACTGATGCAGATTTCCCACAGCTCACTCTGGAGCCACAAAAGACTTTTTCACATAAGCAGCAGTACTCCCCAACACCTGTAAACTGACTTTGATGTATAAATCAGTGGAGTTCCCCTTAAGAACTGGTATTTTAACATTGAACACTTGGGTATCGAGCACATCCCCTTCTCTAGGTATGTTTGGCACAGGTCTACTTGTCTCAGCCTGAATATACATCCAATAATGTTTCATCAGATTTCCATAAAAATAGTCAGGTCTAAATCTTAAAACTTTACCAGTGTAAAAAAAAGTAAATAACAAGTGCAACACTGAAAGAATGTGTTTCCTTTAGCACTTTCTCATTGAGACTTACCGTACATACAGTAACCTAATAATGAAGTTATATATCCTCTACAGCCAGTTGCCAATGTTCAGCCTCTCTGGTGTGTCCCACTATTCATTGTGTACCTTTCATGGAAGAGTATCGCCAAATAGACAAAGCAAAAATGAAAGTAAAGATAGTGGATTTGAGATTTTCATTTGATAATTATTTCACATTAACTGAGAAAAACTACAGGTTGTGTCAGTTTTATTAATGCAACATCTGTAACTTCTTCTGTTGTACGTTTCTCACAACGGATTCAATTGTAAACTGTTGACACAACATAATGAACACCTTTGTAACACAGTGGACACTCGTTTATGGTCAAAATAACACAGGAAGCCAAAAAGTTATCGTTGTCCCCCTCCTTTTATTGTTTACAAAATACCAACATAAATACATAAGAGGAGGCTGTGTGATATTGCTGTGTGTGGGTATGCGTGTGTGAAACAGAGGAGCAGGCAGGAAAGACAGCGATGGAACAAATGCTCCACCCCTCTGTAACAGACACACAGTGGCTTTTCACTGGTCACCTTTGTACTTCACATTTACAGCAGACAGCGAAGGGTAAAGACGTGGCGCACAATGGAATAAAAACCACATTAAATAAAAAGAACAACAAAAAAAAGATAAAATTCTGCGATATAAAAGCAGCTAAACCTCGATCTGTTACGAAGACGGTGAGGAGGAGGAGAAGCACGACAGCACAGACAGTGTGAGGAGCCATCTATAGACAGACAGGATGTTTTTCTTTTAGAGTAAAGATCTTAAACTGGGCAGGTGTTCGTTTCCGCAGTAACTGCTCTTGTTGTATTTCAGTGAACTGAAACTGAACAATGTGGGCTCCGAGAAATCAGCCCTGCAGGTCAAAGGCAGAACACAGACGCACAGTCAGACATGATGTTTATCAGCCTTTCATTCTTTATCTGACTTTCCTTTATTCCTCAATCACCTTAATGAATACTCATGACAGAGGAGATAAAAAGGAAAGGCAACCTCCTCCCCTCATCAGCAGACACAGAAACACCATTATCCTTCATTCACACATGCTACCAGACCACGCTCCTTGTAGTGTGTCCAAAGTCAACTTGGTTACACTCTCACCGGAACCCCTTTTATATATATTCAAAGCCGCAAAGTCAATATTATCTGTACATAAAGGCTTTTTTTTTCTTCACAAACTACAATCATCTGTTTCAAGGGCAAAAGCAGTTTCCAACATCTGTTTTGTTACAGTGAAGACGCTTTAGGCTACGAGACAGGGAAGGATAGACACACCAAAGAAGGACCATTGAGGGAATGTGACGAAACACACAGCTGGGGTGCAGTGATTAACAAGGTTCTTCTCTACTTCCTTTTGCATTTTTTCTCTGGCAAAAGTACTCTGACCGAGACTACAAATCCCAAAGGTTTAACTGCAATGTAATCTTCCATTAAAACACGTGGATCCAGAAACCCTTCACTTTCTCTAGTGCCCGTCTCCAAAAACCTTACAATTGAGGCTGTCTTTGTTCATAGGCTAATTATATATATATATATATATATAAAAAAACAAATTGGTGGAGCTCACCTCTTTAATGTAACTGATCAAAGACTCACTTGGCTGGAGTCAAAGTCAGATCTGGGATTTCTCTTCTTAAACTCTGCTGTACTAGTCGCCCCATGTGGCTTCATGCTAATGGCTGAGTGTCGTGGTACTCAAACAGTCTATTCGCTCATTGCAGTCATAATATAAAGATCACAACCTGAACCGATTCGGGCTGGGAAATTATCGTACGCTGTGTTTAGATTTAGCAGTTTGTAATTTAGTTCTTACAGTCAAGACTAAAGGTGTGTGGCAAGAAACATGGAGGACGCTAAAAACTACAATTGTCCAATGGCCTGCCAGGTGGAAGGAGAAGGGAGGCTGTTCACTGGGCGGCCGTGGCAGTGCCGAAGGTCTCCTGGGAGGCGTACACCATGTAGAGGAAGCCATCTTGGTCCCGCTCCCGTTCATACACCTCGCAGATGGCGGCCGACACAGAGACCATGCTGTGGCCGTTGACCAGCAGGAAGAAAGCCTGGTTGGAGTTTAGCTGGAGGCGCCTCCTGGTGGGGAGACAAAGGCATGGCAGAGTGAGTAGGAGAAGGACAAAGGGAGGACAGAAAATGAGAGGAGAAGAACAGGACTTCAGGTCTACCTGATGATCTTAATCAGTTCACTCATGTTGACATGGTCTGGCACCAGGAACTTAGTCTTGTCCAGGATGGGAAGCTGTTTTTCTCCTTTATACCTCTCGATGATCACCTACAGGAGACACACACATAATCAATGATTTCTCCCCTGTAATTATTCTGGCTGGTGGGAAGGCCTGTATTTCTCAGAGTTTTGAGACCAGTGGCCATGATCGATCGTGAGATGTAACGGGGAGAGGAAGTCACACTTATCAGATGATATAGTAGAAACACAACACAGCCCTTGGCCTTGCTGAACTGCCCTTGTGAATATAAAGTCCACGCTCACTGGACCAAGACCGATCTGCTTGAGCCATGAATGAACAGAATCCTTTATTCAGGATGACATTTAATCAAGTTAAGACGCTTTCAAACAAGAATTTCAAAACAACATCGCAGAAGCACGCGAACCACTTCATCAATGACAACAAGTGCAAATGACATGCAAACACTAATCCACTAAGGGTGTCTGCCACTCTGATTGACTCTTCCATTACTGATCTGAAACATTTAATGCCGTACTTAGTAATGCTAGTGTGCACACTAAGACAACCTTTTCTTAAAAGATACAATGAGGAGATTACTATAGGTGCTTTCGAAAACTACTTCAAAGAAATTGAGGGAATAATCTCACTACAAGATTGATTTTTTTGACAACTCTGACTTGAGGCACATCAGCTTTGCCTTTGCCTCAGATTGGCTAACTGTAACCGTAACCAACGGAGGCAACGAATACTAGCCATTCAGAGGCAGAGTTGTCCAAAACGTGGTGGGAAAAAAACTAACTTCTCAATTTCAGATTACAGCTCCAGTGATTAGTCGATAGGCAGGAAATTATTCTGCAACTATTTTGATAATCCTTTTTTTTTTTATAGTAAAAAAATTCAAATGTTCCCTAGTTTAGGCTTTTTAAATGTGAATAATTGCCACTTTTCCTTGTCTTGCATTATAATCTCTCTATGTGTTTTGGACTGTTGGTCAAACAAAACAAGACATTTCATGATGTCACCTTGGGCTCTGGAAAACTGTGCTGGGCATTTTTAAATGTACCAAGAAAATAAGCAGCAGATCAATCGATAATGAAAATGAGGTCCCAAGGTCTAATGATTAACCAGGATAATTAATTTGTACATTTTTCATCCATGTTAAAATAACAACAATGATGAAATGGAAAAAGAATAAAAATTGCTGATCTGAATTTTAGATGGAGTTACATAACGGTGACACAGTGCATCTGCCACTGGTTTCAACACTTAGCATGACATGGCAGTTTATAAACCCTATGAGAGTACACAGGAAACACACACACACACACACACACACACACGCGGGTGCTTTTAAGATGAGAAGAGGCCTTGCATGGCGCAGCAGATGGGGGGTTTGGTGATACTCTATCTTAAAATGATAAAACACGCAGGTGAAACCTGAGGTGTGCGTTTGTTTGTCGGTGGTTGCTAGGAGCCACTGGACACCCGACCTGTTAGCAGATGCAGTCATCATAAGAAAAACTAGACACACCTGCTGTGGTCACTCACAGTAAGATGAAAAAAAAGCCTGATCACATAAACTATATAATATTTACATATAAACTCAGAATAACAATCAGACGTCTACAAGAGGAAAGCCCTCGCAGAAATGTGTCTGATGCCACCAAATGACATTTAAAACTGTCTTGACACACAATTCAGAGTACAACCAGGAAACATGTGGTAACACTTCCTGTTGCAGTTTGTCTTTTTCTTACTCGTGTCTTCCTGCATGCTGTTAAGCACGTCGTGCTGATTAGTTTCTGCCCTTACAGATTCCCCACCCTTGAGAATAATTGAACAATGGATTCCACCGCACCGGCTTTGGTGTACACACAACCAATGCAAGTGAACGTGCGTCTGAACTCACAGGTATCTTGTTGGGGTGCTGCTCTCGGATCAGTCGGACATC